CTCTCTCTCTCTCTACTAGGCGTCGATAGTGATAGTGTACATTAGCTCGCACTATATATATATATATATATATATATATATATATCGCTTCCAACACAAACACACGATTATACGTCTCCCGTAAACGCGCTCGCAGCGCCCCCTTACACTCTCAACGACACAAGACGGAGTTTGGAAATAAATACGACAACTCCTTCAGTGACGTCATGTCCATCTACGGTCTCCCATCCAGTGACGTCATGCCCATCTACGGTCTCCCATCCTGTGACGTCATGCCCATCTACGGTCTCCCATCCTGTGACGTCATGCCCATATAGGGTCACCATCCTTGTTGACCGTCTGCCATATTACGGTCCTGCTCACGCTGTGTGTTGCACGTGCTTTCAGAGTCCTACGCGGTGAGTCTAGCCTACTGCCGGACTGTTAGAGGACGAGGGACTGAAAAGGCCTACGGGACCGTGAGAAGCGCAATCTAGCGCTACAGGTTTCGTCTGGTGAGACTCGCTGATGTGAGAGAGAGCAGATGGGACGGTGGCGAGAGAGGAAGGAATAGGGGGAGAGAGGAGGGAGGGGGGGGGGGGGGGGCGCGCGCGCGCGCGCTCGCTCGCGGGAGAGAGGTATGTGGAGAGTGTCGTGAGAAGGGATAGAGAATGAGAGAGAAGGGAGGGACCGTGAGAGAGACATGAGGGAGAGGGTGTGCGACAGTGGGGCAAGAATGAATTTGAGATAGAGGGTAAGAGAGAGGCAGGAGAATGTGAGACTGAGAGTGAGCCGTTAGAGTCGCACGTCATTATATCCTTCTCTTTCTGCGATGTAGATGTGAGTGGACGTCACGTGTATGTGGTCGCTGCACGATATCGATGACGTCACGTGTATGTGTTAAAGCTGTCGATGACCGTCTGTGTTTATGTGCGTGTTGCGATTCCATGACGTCACTTGTGCACATTACAGAGTTATACTTGATTGACGTCCGTGTTGTATGTGTGTGCTGTTGTAGGTCGTCTGTGCTTTTAGAGACAGATTAGAGGCTCAGGCGGATAGATAGAGAATTGAGACGTCGGCTTACGGACGAGGAACGCCGCTAGCGCAGACCAAAAATTCTACGAAAGGTATGCGAGTCGAGGAGAGGGCAGCAGCGTTCGGGCAAGAAAGTCGGGGAGAGAAGCGATGGGGAGGCTGGCTGCTGCGTTGTATGCTACGGAGGGCGGGTCCACCAACGGTGGCCGGCTACGCGGACGGCCGACTCCATGGCCGTCAAGAAGCGGTGTGGGGCCCAACCAATTCAACGTACACCACTCCGCGCGGCCATGTTTATTTAACGCTGTGACGTCCCGACGCGCGCACAATGTTTAGTTACGCCTGTTGACGTAACAGACCCGCGGCCATGTCTTACTTAACGCGGTGAATCACGACCTTGTCGCGTATCCCTGCACGCAGGAGACGGATCTCAGACATGACCGCTCGCAGGTCCACCGCGCGACGGTCCACTGCCCGCGAGAGATGACGTCACTGAGGCTTCAGTGTCCGAACGGGCAGTAGCGACTTCAGATGGAGGTTGCAAGAGCAGTCTTCCTTCGCTTCAGGCTTAGATCTTACTTCATTATATACTATATATCATGGAGAGAGACGCAGCACCATCCGGAAAGAGAGACGAGAGAGAGAGAAAGAGAAGTAAAAACACATGTAGATATGATAATAAATGTAGAAAAATAGAATAGGGTGTTAAATTTCAATCAGTAAGCTTTCGAGAATTATCTCTCTTCATCAGGCTCATTGTTGTCCTTATAGTCTGGTGAAGAGAGATTATTGTAGAATTTTTTGTCTACATATATATATATATATATATATATATATGTATGTATGCGTATATGTATATACATTTATATAAATGTGCGTTCTTTATAGATAGAGATTCAGCTGCTGCATTCTAAGCTATCAGATAGAGAGAGTCAGGTTCTGGCACTGAGAGCGAAGTGTACGAAGGAAGGGATCAGTCTTGCTGGAACATACTCCAACGACTCCGGTGAGTATTCTCCGCTCCAATTCCAATTTCCATTTTCGGAATTTTAATTCCTTCTAGAACTTTCTAGACGTGATGCGGCCATGATGCCGAGGCGCACCAAGGATTGACACTTTGTGTCTTCCAATCACAGCCTACGCCGCACCTCTCTATAATATTTTCAAAGGTGGGGACCCATAACAGCACCAAATCGCCGATCTCAGAAACTAGGGCATTTTGCTATGTTAGAACGGTTTCCTACGATAGAGTTTGCCACAAATACGAAAATAACACGCTGTTTAGCTCACTGCGCTACGTCCTTCTGTTGCATTTTCGCATCTCCGTATTCAGAATAAGCCCCGCCTTCTTCGTTGATGGACAATAATGGGGCGTTACCGACGTGACCAGTTACTATACCTACTGTATTTCGCCAGCCTGTTTACTTTTCGTAAATAATGAAATACCCGGCTGATGCATTTCGCATCGAAGTGGAAAATTTTCGGCATTTTCACTTGCTGTCGGAAGTGAATGAGTGCGTCATTCATTGAACATTGAAGTTTTTCTTCAAATTAAATAATTCCGAAAATCCCTAACCGCGCTACTCGATTGTTTTAGCCAATGAACGTAGCTAGGTGACATCTTGCCCTCGCGCTTTATGCTTGGCTTAGCGGGCCTCGAAATAGATATCGGAGGCAGGCACCTCGCAACACGCGTCTTTGTTTACATATAGCTTTGTGACGTACGGGGTTCGGGAGTTCTGCGATGATAACCTCGTAATTTCTCAGCATTTCTTAAGGTGCAAAGAACATTTTACCAATTTAGTGGTGTCAGTTAGTCACGGATATGTCACAGTAAGTACTAACCGTATATGTTTCACATACGTTCACCTATTTTGCACACAGGCGGTCGATCATTGTAAAAACATTTGTGAATATTTATTTTTATTGAGACGTTCCAAGTGTCTGTGCTTTCAACAGTCTTGTACGGCAATGCACGTGCGTCAAGAGCCGCAAACTCAACACAATTTCATCTCTGTTATTGTTGACGCCTGAATGCGAGATTGATCAGGGAGTGCATGTAAGAGGAAGACATTTTCTTTGGGGTTCCGAAAAACACAATTCCACTTGACAATTTTATGGGCCATTTCAATTGGAAGCCATGCATAATGGGCTCCCAACAAGCCCTTTGACTGACTACCGTAGTCAAAAATTTCAAAGGTGTGTATATTTCTCTTATTTAGCCGCCGATAGTTCTTATTTA